CAAGGCTATTTAGCTGACAACTGCCTATGGTTGTGAAACAGTTTATCCAGAATCTGAAAGTCTGGCCAGGCATGGTGGCTCACACCTGTAATCCCAGCATTTTGGGAGACCCAGGTGGGTGGATCACCTGAGGTCAGGAGTTCGAGACCAGCCCGGCCAACATGGTGAAATCCCATCTCTACTAAAAATACAAAAAATTAGCTGGGTGTTGGTGGCGGACACCTGTAATTGAAGCTACTTGAGAGGCTGAGGCAGGAGAATTGCTTGAACCTGAGAGGCAGAGGTTGAAGTGAGCTGAGGTCATGCCACTCCACTCCAGCTCAGGTGACAGAGCAAGATTCTATCTCAAAAAGAAGAAGAAGAAGAAAAAAGAATCTGAAAGTGTAAGACAGGAAAAAAAAAAACTTTTTATGAATGTATAAGATGTTCTTGTACGTAATTGGCATGCCTAATAAGTCTATATATGTGTTGTGTACACATTTCACTGCTGAAAATATAAAAAGGGGCTCTAGTTAACTAAACTAAATTCCTCCCAAAGTTAGTTCAACCTATACCCAGAAATGGACAAGGACAGCTTGGAGGTTAGAAGCAAGATGGAGTCAGTTAAGTCAAATATTTTTCACTGTCTTAGTTATAATTTTACAGCAAAAGCTTTTATATGATCAAGTTGTCATATTATTATTATGTTTTGGGTTGCTTAGAAAAAAACATTAATTTTTTTAAAAATTAAGGTGATGACATATGTTTAAAATTAAGGTTACATCTCTCTGTATGTGCTTTTAATGTCCTTATGACAGTAAGTTACAGGGCTTTGACTCCTGGGTCTAAAAAGAACACCAAGTACATCTAATTTTTTTTTTTTTTGAGACAGAGTCTCACACTGTCACCTGGGCTGGAATGCGGTGGCACAATCTCAGCTCACTGCAATCTCCACCTCCTGGTTCAAGCGATTCTCCTGCCTTAGCTTACTGAGTAGCTGGAATTACAGGCACCTGCCACCACACCCGGTTAATCTTTAATATTTTTAGTAGAAATGGGGTTTCAATATGTTGGCCGGGTTGGTCTGAAACTCCTGATGTCGTGGTTTGTCTGCCTTGGGCTCCCAAAGTGCTGGGATTACAGGCATGAACCGCCGTGCCTGGCCAAGTCCTGCTAAATGTTAAACACTAACAGCAATTAAAGTCCCTTCTTCAGGCCCAGTAGAAGATGCCAATCAAAGTAAACTGTATTCCTGAAACACAGAGACATAAATTAAAGCTATTCAACTCCTCAAGGCCCAGGGACTATCATGGAAGAGGTGGGCATGGGAAATTGTAAGCACCCATTTTGAGAGAGAAAATAAGTTCAGTTTCTCACTGGGTGCAGTGGCTCATGCCTGTAATCCCAGCACTTTGGGAGGCTGAGGCAAGTGAATCATCTGAGGTCAGGAGTTTGAGACCAGCTTGACCAACATGGTGAAACCCCATCTCTACTAAACATACAAAATTAGCCGGGCATAGTGGCACATGTCTGTAATCCCAGCTACTTGGGAGGCTGAGGCAAGAGAATTGCTTGAACCCAAGAGGCAGAGGTTGCAGTGAGCTGAGATCGTGCCATTGCCCTCTAGCCTGGGGAACAAGAGTGAAATTCCATTTCAAAAAAATAAAAAAATAAGTTCAGTTTCTCTATAAATTAGTCATTAATGTCAAAGGCACACTGATGCAGGACCAGCATATGGGTCTCCATGTCAGATTAACAAGGTTTTCTTGAAGCATTAACTGAATCCTAAGTAAAGGCTATGAAAGGCTTATGAAGGTTATATTTTATTGTCAACATATAATTTTGAAAAACATAGGCCAGGCGCGGTGGCTCAAGCCTGTAATCCCAGCACTTTGGGAAGCCGAGGCGGGTGGATCACAAGGTCAGCAGATCAAGACCACCCTGGTCAACATGGTGAAACCCTGTCTCTACTAAAAATTACAAAAAATTAGCTGGGCACAGTGGCGCGTGCCTGTAATCCCAGTTACCCAGGAGGCTGAGCAAGAGAATTGCCTGAACCCAGGGGGTGGAGGTTGTGGTGAGCCGAGATCACGCCATTGCACTCAAGCCTGGGTAACAAGAGCGAAACTCCGTCTCAAAAAAAATAAAAAATAAAAAATAAAATAAAAAGAAAAACATAATTAATTAGTTTCAAGCTGTTTTTATTAGAGCTTACTGTTTGGAACATTAAGTCTTCTCTCTAAGAATGAAGGTTTTTTGAAATCCTTGAGTTATTACTTTGGTTAAATGAATGATCCTATAATATCAAGAGTTTTAAAACTTTAATATTTGACAAACTTTCCAAAATCAAATGATAAATCATGTCTTTTTCTGACCTAATTAATGTGTAAAGATATTAGGTTCCCTGAAGTCCAAAAATGACATAGTTTGGCTTATTTGGTATAAAAATTGTACAGGAAGCATTGTCAAATATGAAGTGGTAGTTGGTTTTCTTTGGGCTGTATTTGTATAAATATCTTATTGGTATGTATTCCAAAATTATGGGAAATTCCTATAATTTTGATAAAACTTAGTGTGCATCATCAGTAGTAATTATAATTATATTAAGTTATTATGTGTTACAGAGCTAACAAATTTTCTTGCCAATTGTGTCTTTGACTATGGCTGCCTTAAAACTTTTTGTCATCCATGGGCAATTGTCTTGTTTTAGGAAAAAAACTGAAATTAAAATTTTTTTAAAATTAAGGTTATTACATCTCTCTGTATGTGCTTTTAATGTCCTTGTGACATTAAGTTACAGGGCTTTGACTCCTGGGTCTAAAAAAAACACCAAATCCTGCTGATTTTTTTTTTTTTTTTTGAGACAGAGTCTCACACTGTCACCCAGGCTGGAGTGCAGTGGCACAATCAGCTATAGAACTCTAACAGGTGTTCCTAAACACAGGTTTCTGATAACCCTGGAAATTGTGACATTAGAATAGAAAAGAAAAACTTTCTGAACTCTCATGGAGAGCTGAAATGTTTACGACTATCAAGGACAACAAGAGTTAACTGTGTAAACTGAACTCATAGAAGATTAAAGTAATCTTTTTTACTTTTGCTTTAAATGTTACTGATCCTTTGTTTTTGTTTTCTTCAGAGTCAAGGAAACTTTTCTTTATTGCTATTGACAGCTTTTAACAATTTAGTATTCTCCTATGAACAAAATTTGAAGGACATTTGTTTCTCTCTACCTGATTTCTCCAGAATTTGGAAGCTATTTGTGAGTATTCTTAACACTTGATCTTAGCCAAAAGGCCGAGAAGCGATGTGAGTATTCTTAACATATGGCAATACAGTTACATGCATAAGTGCAATAAGACTCTGTTTTCATTTTGCAACAGGACATAATTGGAGAAACTGGTTATTTTATCAAGGCTTTGACTGGAATGGTGTGCTTTCCTTTAAGGGATCAAGCTTGGTTTATTGAGCCAATAAAAAATCCCTGGGGAAACTAGCCTCATACCTTCCCAATACAGTGTTCCTGACCTCTGATAAGTAAAGGCCCTGTCTCTGACAGGCCCAGAAGCCCCAAGTTTGTTTTGTAACCTCAACAGGATCACCCAACTCATGGGTATTTAATAGCACATATACATGGCTAGGTATAAGACCTTTTAAAAAAGGTCTTAGCTGAGATTCCTTCTATGGAATAAAGTTCCATCAGAGCCAATTTAAAAGCCTATGTGAAAATAATTATTCTTGCTGCACTGTATATAAATAATTAGGCCAAGTATAATAAAGAAAATCAATCCTACCCTGATTTGTCTTTAGTAAAAATGGGAAACTAGAGAGAAAAATTATGTTTTGAAAACTATAGTACAACTGTCATTAGCTTCTAGTCTTGCCTAAAGCTTTTCAATCTTTATCATTTTTCTGCCATTTGGACTGAATTCTAATTTTTCTTGGCTACAAGTCTTCAAAATAATGTTTTCAATTTTTTTCCTTCTTTTTTTTCCCCTAACTTAGAGTCACTGAAAACTAAGCTATGCTTTCTTTAAGCCCTGAAAACTGAATCTAGACAACTTAATCATCAGAAGAAAATATCAGCAACCTATTTAGTACCTAAGCAACTTTCATACCTGCCTGCTGATGTATAGACTTCAGAGTAATGTGGGCCCATGTCAATTTTCCAGGATTGTTCTTTTGTTTGTTGTTGTTTTTCTCCCTTCCTTCCCCTATTTTCTCTTTGTAAGACATGAGACTTCATAACTTTCTAAAAATGAACTTTCCTAATAATTTGGAACCTACCCCTCTACAAATAAACCATCCTCGCCATGAGAGGTCAGACAAAACCTGGGACCAGAGACTCAATTTCTTCTAAAATGCTTTCTCCAAAAGATTTTTTTAAAAGAAAAGGGGGAAATGTGAAAGGAAAATGTCTTGGGCCCCCAAAATCACCTTTAGCTTAAAGAGACCATTTGTCTCTTATCTATCTGTGACCTGGAAGCCTCCTTCCCACTTTGAGTCTTCCCACCTTTGGTTTGGATTGTCTCCCCTTTCCAGATGGAACCAATGTTTATCTTACGTATGTTGATTGGTATCTCATGTGTCCGTAAAATGTGAAAAACCAAGCTGTGCTCTGATCACTTTGGGCACATGTCATCAGGCTCTCTTGAGGCTGTGTCATGGGCACATGTCCTCAAGCTTGGCAAAATAAACTTTTAAATTAACTGAGACCTGTTTCGAATTTTCAGGGTTAACAACCTCAAGCAGAAAGCAGATTCTGGTTTCAGCCAAAGGTCATCAGGCTGTATGGGCTCCAGGGGGTCACAGAGAACAGAATCCACCCCACCCTACCCCTCCACCATCAGCCAACAAAAATAGGATAGGCTCTCCACTGCCTCTGCTGCGAAGCCCTCCTGTCCACTTAGTGGCCAGGAAGTGCTTTCTTGAGTCTATGTAGGATTTTTTCAACTGCAGTTTAGAGCTGCGCTCCTCTGCTGCTTGACCTTTCTCTACCCCAGCGCTCCAGACAGAATTACCTGAGCCCATCTAGCTCGGTCTCCAGCCGCCTCCGCTCAACCACCAGCCCCACGGTGTTGGCAAACCTCTGTGGTGAGTGGGGCACCCTGGCAGGCAGGAGGAATATCTGCAGTGGTAGACACAAGACACACAGTGAGGCTACCATCCCTCATGGAGCACTCAGCGCCTCCAACATCCCGAGCGTCCCCAGCTGACTCCCAGGCAGCAGGGGGCCACTGCTCATTCACCCTGGTCCCTCTTCTCTGTCCAGCCCCTACACCGGGGAACCAGAGGGAATATTGGACTGTACTGAGGATGGGGCAGCCTGGAAGAGGGAGGATGGGGAAGAGAGAGGATGGGGAAGGGGCAGGTAGGCAGGAGATGGTGTGGAGGGCAGGAAAAGGTAGGGAGGACGAGACCTCAGCCAGGGCCAGGAGAAGTGGACAGAGTGGATTCCATTGTGGCCACCCTTCTCTTCCCCACCCTGCTGGGATCTGGCCTCACCTCTCCCTGCCGAATGACCACATCCCGGTGTTTCCCTCGCTCCAGGACTCGGAGAACCATGTCTCCCTCCAGTTGGTAAAATACCTGTGGGACAGGAAAGAGGCTTGGACCCTCCCTGTTTTCTCTTCCAGGTCCTTGGCCACTGCCCAGGCCCTGAATTCTGACCAGGAAACCTGAGAAACTTTCTGAAGGCCTTGGAGTTGATGGGCAGCTCTATACTTCTGTCCTGAGGCCTGTCTCCCCACGCATGCCATGGACTGGAGTGCTGGGGACACATGGGATCATGTCTTCCAAGTGACCAGAGTACCCAGGATGCAACAGCGGTTGCTTGGCTGGCAGGCAGGAGTTGGATGAAATGCTTACTGAGGAACCAAGTGACCCAGCAGTCAGGTAGGGGACCCACCCATTTATTGTGTGCCAGGCACTTTTCTACTAGAAACCTTCAAAGCAATCTCCAAAAGTATCATTAACCCCATTCAGCAGAAAATAAAGAAAGAAAACCAAGGCTTAGAGGGTAAATCAACTGGCCTAATGTCACATAGCTAGTTAATCTCCAGCTGGAGCCACAGCTTAGACCCAAGGCTGTATGTGGCTCTGGAGCCTCTGGCCAGGTTGACACCCTGGCAGGGCGTGGGGCTGTGGAGGTTGCTGGGGTAAATGGACTCGATGACGCTGGCAGCCTGGGATGGGTTGGGGGTTGTGAGGGATGGGAGCATGTGCCTCCTGTGCTCTCCTGGGGGGCTCCTACTGCATTTTTCTGATTCCATCCTAAGTCCCTTATTTACTGAGATCACCCCACGTTTACTGAGATCACCCCATGGAATTGGGAGGAAGAGGAGGAGGCAGACTGGTTTTCTCTCCACCAGTCACACATTGCCTGGGTGTTAAAAGCTCCAGCCAAATAGTTGAAGGGATGTTACCAACAGCATCTACCAAGAGAAAGCAAGCTGAGCTCTAGGGACTCGGAGAAATGTGGCTCTGCCGTCTGCCACTAGGCACACATAGTCACAACCCTTCTGAAGGGCAATTTGGCCATGAGCGGGAAGAGCCCTGGCAGTTCACAATTCTGTAGGGACCGTGGGGCTTTTTGGGATGCAGGACCTTCAGTGCTAAAGCTGGGAAAGTTCTGGGTGAATCCGGATAGCTCATCACCATACAACCTGGACCTCAGTAATTTCACCTCAGGAATGAGACCTCAGTTAATCAGAGACACACTGCCTCACGGTGTATATTCAAGGCTTTTTTTCTTTTCTCTTCTTTTCTTTTTGAGATGGAGTCTTACTCTGTCATCCAAGCTGGAGTGCAGTGGTACAACCTCAGCTTACTGCAACCTCTGCCTTCCCAAGTCGAGCGATTCTCCTGCCTCAGTCAGCCTCCTGAGTAGCTGGGACTACAGAGGCATGCCACCATGCCTGGTTAATTTTTGTATTTTTAGTAGAGATATGGTTTCACCATATTGGTCAGGCTGGTCTCAAACTCCTGACCTTGTGATCTGCCTGCCTCTGCCTCCCAAAGTGCTGGGACTACAGGAGTGAGCCACGACTCCTGACCGCAAGGCTGTTTTTAACACAGCACATAGTTAAAAGCCCTCAGCTCTGCCAGGGTGCTCTGTGCCCTTGGTTAATTCAGTTAGCCACCTGTGCCTCAGTTTCCTCATCTACAAAGTGACAGTTGTCTACTCAAAAGGTGGCTGTGAAGATGCCAGAGATATTTCACACATATGTACCCAGTGCATAGTAAGCACTCAGTCAGCCTCTAGCTATTAATATTCATCATGAAAGTAATGCTAATATCATTATAGGGGAAATGGAAATATTTGATGGTAGATTCAAATATGAAACATTATGCAGCCATTAAAAACTATGTTTTTGAATAACTGTTAAGGAAAAATGGAAAATGCTAAAGATATGTTAATGATTCAAAATCATACCCAGCAGGGTTTGAGTTGGTGGCGATACAAATCTAGCATAGGCAGCCTGTGCACAGCAGCCCTCTGTGGTGCGATTATGAATGAGGTGAGGATTTTTCTTTCTATATTTCTCGTATTTTCTACAAGGAGCAATATTTACTTTTATTGTTAAAAACAACCCGTAGGCCAGATGTGGTGGCTTATGCCTGTTATCCTAGCACTCTGGGAGATGGCAGGATCACTTGAAGCCAGGAATGGAGACCATTCTGGGCAACATGGTGAGACCCCATCTCTACAAAAAATAGAAAAAATTAGCTGAGTATGGTGATATGTGCCTGTAGCCCCAGCTACTTGGGAGGCTGAGGTGGGAGGATCTCTTGAGCCCCAGGAGTTGAGGCTGCAGTGAGCTACGATTGCACTACTGTACTCCAGCCTGGGTGACAGAGTGAGACTCCATCTCTAAAAAACAAAAACAAACACGAACAAACAAAAACCCCATAAATATTATTTAATACAAATAAAAACAAACATACCAGGTTCTCTTATAGGGAGCAATTCGATATGCTTTCCTCCCCACACCCCCCAAGCGGGGAGGAAGTGTGTGTGTGTGTGTGTGTGTCTAGGGTCCTTTCACAATGAGGGAGGGGAGGAGGGGCAAAGGAAAAGTTGGGGGAGGGGAGTCTGGAGGGATCCTCTGGGCCAGATTTAAACCCTTACCAGGCAGGCTACTTGGCATTTTCTTGCTCTTGTCCCCTGCTCAGAGGGGCAGGCCTGGTCTGGAGCAGAGGAACAGACCACTGAACAGCAGAAAATCCCAAACAGCTGTGGGCAATCCGAAAGGAATTATGCTCAGTTTGGAAGCAAATGATGTTTGGGGGCCTGGGGCTGGCTGGAAGATTAACTGTACTGGCTCAGGCAAATACTGAATAGAGTCTGGCTTTCTGACCTGAAAGGCCTTTCAGGCAGGCCAAGTGGAAAGGCAAGGGGGTAGAGGAGCAAGGCGTATCAAGCACTGACTCTGCACCAGGCTCTGTGCACATACTCTATGCACTGAATTCTTCCATCAGACAGGGCCATTGTCCCCACGTGCTTAAGGAAACAGGCTCGGAGAGGTGACATGACATGCCCTGTCCAAAATCCCAGGGTAAGAGGCAAAGAATTCCAATGCAAGTTCATCTGCCTCTGGCCACCTGCACGCCCAAGAAGAGAGTGAGGGAAGTGGAGTCTATGTGGTAGGTGTGAGGATGAGGGAGGTGGAGTCTAAGAGGTAGGTGGCACTGGGGAATTGGGGGAGGTAGGTGGCACTGGGGAGTGGGGGGCTGGGCCAGGGAGCTGGAGGTACCCTGACTGCTATTGCAGAGGCAGAGCTCAATGAGGAGGAAAATGTGGTTCAGTAAGAGGCGTGATTTGAACCCAGGTCTGAGCAGCTCCCCTTTTCTCACTGTTCAGGAGGAGCCTGCATCCTGAGCTACACTGCTTCTACAGCACAGTCTGGAGTCTCTCCAGGCTCCCGCTGGGTGAGGACAGGCAGGGACAGAGAAGAGGTTGCCCAAGTGCTGCACCACCCTGCCACCAAAACCTCCTCAGGGTGGGACCAAGCTCTGTCCCAAGCTCACCTCCAGCCAGATTCCTCCCAGACACCTGGGCGTCCCTTCATAGTGAGGACACATGTGCTGGCCAGCCCTCCTCATCACTTAGCTGCCATATGAGTCAGGGCATGAGCTGTCCCTCAGGGGACACTCAGCCACCTGAGCTTGGAGAAACCACTGGATGCAGCATGGGGCAGAGGCAGCAGGGGAGAAGGGAAGCCAAGACTGAGGGAGACAGGAGAGCTGGGTGCTGAGACCAGGGCCAACAGAGAAGGCCGAAGCCCCTGGAAGACCCCGCAGCCAGCTGTGCCTCCCCTACATAGCCACTCCAGGTCCACCTACCTCCCCTGTATAGTTTTAGATTTTCCCATTGACTTTTTCCACCAAGCAAACAGTCTCCAGTGAGGTGCGTTTGTAAGAAGGGGGTAGCCAGGAGCGGTGCAGGGCCCCTGGAGGGTGAGAGGTTACGGGTGGCTGGTTCTGCTGGCCCAGGCCCAGTAGTTCCTCTGCACAGCCTTGCATGTGCCATTGCACACATGAAGTGCTCAGCAAATGTTTGTTGAACAGGTCATTCTCCCATGCTCACTACAGTCCCTGGCTGTGGCCTGAGTGCCCTCAATGGGGCAGAGGCTGTTGATCAAGCTGGACTCTGATCTTGCACCCCCAGAATCAGACTCCCTGAGAAGATGGGGAGCCCCTCTACTGGTCCTTTTCCATCGGAGGAGATTCTGTGTCTCTCCTTAAAGGGACTCACCTTCCTCTCTAAACTTTGCTTTTGTTTATTTACTTGGGTAGGGGAGTAGAGAAGCACAGTCCAAACATCAAGGTACAAAAGTTGATTCAAGGTAAATTCCCCCTCCCACCTGCCCCAGCCACACAGCCACAGATGGGTTTTGCAGCCTCTAGTTAAGGAAGGGCCACTCAGCCCCAACTCCTCCTTCAGCTCCAGGTATCCCCCTAGCATGCCCACCCCTCGGCCACTTGCTCCGCCTCCCTCAGCCCCTCCTGCTCCCTCTGCCACGCCCACAGCCCAGCTCTCACCCACAGTGTTCTGGCACTTTGCCCCTGTCCACAGGAAAGAAAATTTCATGGAGAACCTGGAACCGGAAGGAGAGTGCCCTCAAGGGTTGGTCTGATTTTGGAGACCAGTCGAATCTGTCAAGTTTGTGGAGAGGAGACTAGGGTATCCCCTGCGCATGGCCAACCCCTATATTCAGGGGGAGGATGCCTCACGCCTAGAGCCTCTCTCACCTTCGGGGTGTGGGCTGTTTCCTGGGGTTCCCCCAGCAGAGGTGCTGGCTGTCGAAGTGTCGCTGCCTGCCCACCAGCTTGGAGGCAGCAGTTGTGCCCTGTGATTTCAGTTGTGCCCCCTTCACTCATCAGCCATGTGTCCACCCCTATCCAGCCCATCATCTCTGGCCCTCTCATGGGAAGTGTCCGCTCCCCGCAGGGCCAGGCTCCTTGTCCACAGACCTAGATCCAAGGAGACGCAGTCAAGCCTACCTCTTCACCCTCCTCGATGTGATAGTCCTTCCTGGTGTTGGGGCCTCCGACGAACATGACTTTGAGCTGCTCCTGGTGCCTGCAATGCACAAAGTGGGGGAGACGTTCTAAACTATCACCCAGGAGTGAAGAGGGCAGGGGTCCTGTGGGAGCCAGGTGGGAGCCTGAGGACCCCTGGGAGAAGGAGCAGGGCTGTTTTGGCTTTACTGTCCCTGTCCCTCCACTTTCATCCGTGCATCCCCCGTGTGCATCTAAGTGTCTGTGTCTCTGGGATCGTGTCTGTGTCTGTCCCGGTTTGTGTGCCCCTCTCACGTCCTCTGACCCAACAAGGGGAATGATGTGGTGATGAATCTATGGCTTCATCAACCAGGATCCCAGGCTGAGATCGAGATCTCGAATTACAGCTGGGCACTGTGGCTCACACCTGTAATTCCAGCATTTTGGGAGGCTGAGGCAGGCAGATCACCTGAGGTCGGGAGTTCAAAGCCAGTCTGACCAACATGGTGAAACCCTGTCTCTACTAAATATACAAAAAATTAGCTGGGCGTGGTGGCATGTGCCTGTAATCCCAGCTACTTAAGACGCTGAGGCAGAGAATTGCTTAAACCCGGGAGGTGGAAGTTGCAGTGAGCTGAGATCGCGTCATTGCAATCCAGCCTGGGTGACAAGAGCAAAACTCCATCTCAAAAAAAAAAAAAAAAAAAGATCTCAAATTACAGAGGAGCGGCAAATTGGAGGCCCCTTCCCAGGATGGGGCAGGGCAGGGGCCAAACACCCTTGACCTGCCACTCACCCATGCTGTGTGACTATGGGACCCTGCACTCTCCCCTGGCTGGAGGCATGGCTCAGTGGATACAGGAAAGGTGACATCTAGCAGGGGCCTCAGACAGTGTCAAGTCAGTGAGACACGTGTTTATAAGCACAGGCCCTGGGGCATGTTATTAACCTTATGTGTAAAATAGAGAAACAGTTCTTACCTCACAGAGCTTAAACAGAATACATGAATTGATATTTGGAAGCTCTCAGAATGGTGCCTAGCATATGGCAAGCACTATTTAAGTGTTTGATAAAATAAAGAAACCTAGCCAGGCTTGGTGGCTCATGCCTCTAATCCAGCACTTTGGGTGGCAGAGGTGGGTGGATTGTTTGAGGTCAGGCATTTGTGACTTGCCTGGACAACATGGTGAAACTGTATCTCTACTAAAAATACAAATATTAGCCAGGCCTGGCAGTAGGCACCTATAATCCCAGCTATTTGGGAGGCTTAGGCACAAGAATCGCTTGAACCTGTGAAGTGGAGGTTGCAGTGAGCTAAGATTGTGCTACTGCAGTGCAGCCTGGGTAACGGAGACTCTGTCTTAAATAAATAAATAACATTCACAAATAAACTCAATACAACCCTCTTATTTTACAGTCTGTTTAGCCAGCCAAGAGAGGGTCACCTAGCCAGGGAATGACTGAACCTGAGCCAAGTCCCAGGCTCCCTGACTGCCAGGCTGGCACTGGGTCTGTGGGGCACCTAGTCAGCTGTTTGGAACGAAAGCATGCTTAACCTCCTCAGCCTTTCTGCTATTGGTATGGTGTTACCTTTTTATGGGAAAAATACCTCAGCACCTCCTGAGAACAACAACCCCCACCCCCCACAGCAGGGTCTTTCTTCAGGGTGCACACTCCGGGGTGAATAAGCATCAGAACGTGCCTGGGTGGGGCTTCAGGGTCGTCTGAGGTGGCCCTGCCACAGAGGGCAAGGGCAACAGCTTTCCTCAGAGCAAGGGAGAGGCTGGGTCCGGACCATTTGTACATACAGGGCACAGCAGGCTAGAGGCTGCTTGCATGGATGACGATGGTTTGGGAGGGGAGGGGAGGGGCTATCCCACACCATCATTATCCATCCATCATCCTCCCCCTATGGAGGAGGTCTGAGCCCCCAAATCTAGACTGGCAGGTCCTTTCTGAGTGTCCTCTCCTGTGGGCTGTTTTCCAGCCCATGGTGGGAGGCCTAGGGACAAGATGGAAGAGCCAGTCTTTTTCCTTTACCCTCCTTTTGGGAGGCTGGGCCCAATAAGCCAGAAGCACACCTGTGGCGCTGATGTTTGCAAAGTGAGTGAGGTTGCAGGGCAGGAGGAGGCTGTCGTGGAACAGTCTGTGATTAAAGAACTTAAAGCCACATAGAGCTTCAAGGAGGGGAGAGAAGCTGCGAGGAACTTGATGGGGGAAGGGTGTGCCCTGGAGAGCTGGGTGCAGAGGTTCTGAGACTAGAAGCACTGGGGATGACCTTGGGGAGTGATGCTGAGAAGGCTGGACCAGGAGGTGGACCAGCCATGGAGTCTGGTCTTGGCCTAAGGGGTGTTGGGAAACCTGGAACATTGTTATTTTTTAAAAATCAACTTCACTGAGATGTAATTTAGATACATACAGACAATTCTTAAATAAGTCCACTCAAGAATTCTTTCTATCCAGCAATCAGAATGCAGAAACCAGACCTGCCCCTCCTCTGGCCGAACCCTCCAGCAGCTTCTCACTTTGCTGGGTGGTGCTATGGGCTGAATAGCAACCCCTTCTCCCAAATGTATATGTTGAAGTCCTAACACCCAGTCGGGCAGAATGTGACCTTATTTGGAAATCGAGTCCTTGAGATGTGGTTAGGTTAGGATGAGGTCACCCTGGAGTAGGGTGAGCCCCTGATCCAATAGGCCTGGTGTTCTTTTGAAAGGGGGAAATTTGGACACAGACACAGACACAAACACAAGGAGGTCGCCTTGTGAAGATGAAGGTGGAGGTGGGTGTGGTGCGGCAGAAGCAAGAACACTAATGATGCCAGCAAACCATCGAATGCTAGGGAGAGGCCCGGGCGGATGGACGTGAGACCTCGGGGGAGCCTTGGGAAGACTGAGAGACTGACTGCAGAGAGGGATAAAGTGGTGGGAGGAGGCAAAGGCGACGACACATATTTGACTGGGGGGCAACAAGTGGTAGGAGAGGTCTTTGGGGAGAGATTGACTATTGGCCATGTGGTGTTGCATGGTGACCAAGAGTGAGCGTGGACTCTGGAGTAGAACTGTTCTGTGGGTTGAGTCTGGAGCCTACCCGACAGGCACTCTGTGACATTGGAAAAGTGACTTATGAAAATCCCACCTCATGGCGCTACTGTGAAAATGAGAGGAGATGATGTAAAAGCACTTGGCATAGTCCTGGGCCCGTCGAAGTGTTAGTGATTGCAGCTGTCTGTTTTGAGGTCCCACCCATGGACCATATCCTGTGGACACAGCAAAAATGGGGAATGCGAACCTTGATCTAGCTGGCATGTGAGGGCCAGCCATGGAACTGGGGGGATGAGGGAGGTGACTGTGCCGCAGGGCAGGGCCTGAGATGTCTGCCAGAGAAAGATGGCAGCTGGACAGCCAACCCTATTGGGTGCTGCAGGCAGAGGCTGCTGGCAGAGGTAGCCTAGGTAGGGTCTGGTGGTGTGTGTGTGTGTGTGTGTTCCTGCACGCCTGCAAAGAGGGGCCCTGGAAAGAGCAAGAAATCAAGAACTTCCCAAAGGAGCGGATTCTCTGCCTTTCCCTTTGCCTGTGGCTTCTGGGAAGGGTTGGGGTGTCTGATTAGGCTGCCCCCAGGCCTACATTCGAGTGCACTTCTGGGGCCTTGAAAACCACCCTCCCCACACTTTTGCGTTTTCCCAAAATGCCCAGTGTCACTCGGGGTTGGAGAATCCTTTCTCAGCCCCGCATAAGGGGTGTACCCTGCCATCTCATCTCCCACAGCCTCAGAGCCACCTCAGCCTTCTTCAAAAGTCAAGGCCACAGTCACTAGAAAGAGGAACAGGCCGACGTGGTGGAACCGGAACAGCCCGTTTCCATCTTCCCCCGAGAACTCAGAGATTGAAGCTGCCCTGCTGCAGGCTTTTGGGTTCAGGAACTCGGAGCTGAAAGGTGAGGGTGCAGATGGAGGAGAGGGAGGAAGCGAGGGCAGGGGGAGGCCGTGACGGTGCAGGACTCACATGAGCTTGTTGCAGACCGGGGGCTGGAAGGATGCCCGGTTCTCCTCCACCCAGGCCCTCACTCTCACGAGGCGCTCCATGACTGTCGGAGCGCCTCCTCGCTGCGCGGTACTCAGCCGAGGGAGGCCCGCGGCTCCGCCCAGCCGCCTGTCGGCAGCCTTTTTAACCAGAACCCCAGGCTCACAAGGCGGAGCAAACCCCAGCGACCCCACCCCCGCGACCCCGCGGTGGGTGCTTGGGCCCTGCGGATATTGGCCTCTGGTGGACTTTGGTCTGAGCCCGCCGCCCTCCGCTCCACCCCAGGCCCTGGAGAGCGCGGCGGCCGCAGCGCTGGGGGACGGCGGCCCGGTTCCCCGGGTTCTCCGCAGGGCAGGGACTCGATCTCCGTCGCGTCCCGGGGCGCCCTGCACACTCGCGCCTGCGGTGAGGCCTGCTCCCGGCGGAGGACACAGAATCCACATCCTTCCTGGGCGCTTGTCCCCAGACGTTCCTTCACTTTACGCCCCGGGGGGAATCCCAGGGAGGGCCCCCAGAAATACTACATGGGGAGAGGGCGGTTTGGAAGTCCCAGCGCTGGAGAACACGGTGCTAGCGCTGGGGTCAAGGCTTGGCTTTCCCCTCTGGAAAATGGAAATGACTGCCCGGCCACTGAGGGCTGCGGTGCGCACCCAGCAGGAACGCGCGGGGGTCCCCGTAGGTCCGGATTCAGGGTGAGCCCCAGACCTGCAGCGTGCGATCGGCAGACTCAGCGGCGGGCTCGGCGAGGGGAGTGGTGCGGGCGCCGAGCTGCCGGGCCAGGGCTCAATGCAGGACCGTGGGCCCTCCCCACCCCACCCGAGGCCCGGCAGAGCGGCCGCTGTCCTCCGCGCAGCGTCGCAGTGGACCCGGAGCCGGGTGCGCAGCTCCTTAGGCGTCTTAGGAACACACTCAGCTGGTACGCAGCTATGGGAGAAATGTGGCAGATGCAGACACTGGCTTCAGTGTCTCAGCCCTCGGGAATCTCGGGGTGCTAATGATGACAGCCCCGTGTGAGAGGCTCTAACAGTTATCCTGGGGGTGAGGGGCTGGGGCGCTGGGCCTGGGCGTGCAGGTGTGAGGAAGGAGAAACCTGAGCGGGAATGGAGGATGGAGAAGGAAATCCGACACCTGCCTTTCTGCAGGAGGCAGAATTCTTAGGAAGATTGGAGGAAGTAGAGTGGGAGCTGGGGTGTCGGGGAGGAGCAAAATGGCTCAGGCCTCTGACATCAGAATCCAGACTTTAGGGTTTAAGAAACTAAACGCCTCCAAATCATGCCCTCACAGCCCGCCTGGCGTGGGCTGGTTTTCTCAGCATCCCAGACATAAAGACTCCCCTGGTGCAACTGAAAATCAAAACCCAGACAGATAAGAAGCCAGATTCCCCACTGAGGAAATTCCCCTCCATTTCCTCTCTGCCATTATTTTCTTTTTCATTTTTCTCTCTCCTTCTTTGTAGTTATTTGTCTAGGACAGTTTTAGCTGAGCACTTCTTTCTAGAATATCGTTTAGCACCCAAATAACTCACAACACCTTCTTTATTTTTCTCATCTACGAGTAATCAGAGACATAAACAATGACACATGAAACACCAAGGATCTGAGATGTGTTAGGTTTGCTTTGAGTGCTGGTTAAGTGGAGGGATGGGTGAGTGGGTGGATGAAGGCATCAATGAATTCACACAAAAAGGAGAAAAAATGGATTTCAGCCCAACAGATGTTCTGTTACCATAGTGCAAAGGAAAGAATGATGGGTACTCTGTATTTTAACTGATATAATCAAATAATGTGAATTATTAAGGCCACAAGTAGAATTCTGGAGGTCTGGATTATCCTGAGTAACCCTCGTCACAAGCTAAAGCACTGCTATGTCATAGCCATCAAATATGCGCTTTGGTTTGTGCTGTGTAGAGAAAATACCATGTCTGGTCTACTCACTTGGCATGCCTCCTGGCTCAGGCACCACTGGACTCCAGTGGTCAGAAAACGGACAGTTCCCATGTTGTGAGTATTCTGGCACTGTTGAGTTGGAACCATCTGGAATCCTTCTGGATATTGACTGTTGGGCCCCTTGTAGTTTCTGGAATTTACCCGCTTCCAGGAGCCTCCTCTCTCCTCTGCACACAGGAGCTCATCTGCATTAAAGAATCAGAAGCAAATGGCATCTATCCTAGGATCCATGCCCAGAGGATCTGTCTGCTTGCTGGTGTCTTGCCCTGGCCTCCCCCGGGTGCTGTTTGCCTGCCCAGGTCACTGAGACCAGCAGATCCTTCTATGCTTTGCTGAACCTGGCTGGTAATAGCTATCTGACCCTTCAATTCTTCCATACATTGAACTAGTTGCTCCAGTGAATCCCTTTCCTGGCCCTCTGTGTTCTGTCTCTGCCTCTCTGTCTCTCCCTCTTTGTCTCTCTTATATAATTCAGCAAATATTTTAAAACGAATAGCTTTATATGAACAAATGGGCTAGATCATGAACTACTCTGGTTATTTGGAAATCTAGGTTCTGGTCCTGCTATCTCTTTGAGTTATTTACAAGTCTGTTTAAAAGTTTCTAGACATACATTAGTTTGTTTTTTGTTTGGCTATCATTTTGTTTTTCACTTCTAATGGCATTGCATTGTGGTGAGAGAAGACAGTCTGTGTTGTATTACTTTTGGGTGGGAGATGTGTTAAGATTTCCTTTGCAGCTTAGCTTATGGTCAGTTTTTGTGAATATGTATTTTCTGCTTAGAAGGCAGTTCTGAAAATCAAAGTAAATGACTTATGCAGAGCATTTTACATAGAAAAAATGTAATGGATATTTCAGCTCATGAAAACTGATTACTTAAATGTAAGTAATATTTTGATAAGCTCATGAAAATTAAGAAAAAAAAGAATATAGTTCTGCATCTTTCTATCAGGTCAAGCTATTGTGTTACTCAAATAGTGTTGGTCCTTATTTTTTAAAGTGCTTAATATTTTATTTTCCAAGAGAGATATGATAAAGTCTAACACTGATTTTTTTGGGTCAATTTCTCCTTTTTTTTTTTGAGACTGGGTCTCACTCTGTGCCCAGGCTGGAGTGCAGTGGTGCGATCTCAGCCTCAGCCTCTCTGGGCTCACATGATCCTCCTACTTCAGTCCTTCCTGTAGCTGGGACTACAGGCTCGTGCCACCATCCCCGGGCTACTTTTTGTATTTTTTTTTTTTTTGTAGAGATGGGGTTTCACCATGTTGCCCAGGCTGGTCTCGAACTCCTGGGCTCAAGCAGTGGCCTCCCTGTAATCATAAAGTGCTAGGATTACAGTGGTGAGCCACTGTGCCCAGCCTCTCCTTATTGTTTAACAACTTTTGCTTTACATATTCTGAATGTATGTCGTTAGATGAAAACATGCTCACAACTAATTTATCTTCTTGTTGTAGTGCTTCTTTTATCTCTAAGAAATATTTCCTCTTAGTTTCTTTTCAACTTGACTTCAACTTTGATATTAATATTGCTACAGCCACTTTGTGTTAGTATTTTCCAGACATGGTCAGCTGATAAAAAAGATGACACAATAACCCCTTCCCTTCCTGAATCCATACCACATTACCATGTGACTTTGCCACTCTTCCATTAAAAGGAGAAGTTGGGGCCGGGCGCAGTGGCTCACAACTATAATCCCAGCACTTTGGGAGGCTGAGGCGGGTGGATCACGAGGTCAAGAGATCAAGATCATCCTGGTCAACATGGTGAAACCCCGTCTCTACTAAAAATACAAAAATTAGCTGGGCATGGTGGCGCACGCCTGTAGTCCCAGCTACTCGGGAGGCTGAGGCAGGAGAATTGCTTGAACCCAGGAGGCAGAGGTTGCAGTGAGCCGAGATCGCGCCATTGCACTCCAGCCTGGGTAACAAGAGTGAAACTTCGTCTCAAAAAAAAAAAAAAAAAAGGAGAAGTTGGCTGGGTGCAATGGCTCACGCCTGTAATCCCAGCACTTTAGGAGGCCAAGGTGGGCGTATCACAAGGTCAGGAGTTTGAGACCAGCCCAACCAACATGGTGAAACCCTGTCTCTACTAAAAATACAAAAATTAGCCAGGTGTGGTGGTGCACACTTGTAATCCTAGCTACTCAGGAGTCTGAGGCAGGAGAACCACTTGAATCTGGAAGGTGGAAGTTGCAGTGAGCTGAGATTGCACCACTGCGCTCCAGCCTGGGTGACAGAGCAAGACTCTGTCTCAAAAAAAAAAAGGGAAGTCCTTCTCCTCGTTGGTTGAATCATGGTTGGCACTGTGACTTGTGAATACAGAAGGCAGCAGAACTGATGCTATGGGACATCTGAGTGTAGTCCTCGCCAGGTCTGCCAGCTGCTGATCTCATCACCTGGAATGCTGCTGCCACCACGTACAGAAGCCTGGGTTAGTGTCCTGGAGGATGAGAGACCATGTAGAGGGTGAGGCTGGCCAACAGCCTGCACCAGTTGTGTAAGACCGTCTGAGATGACTGTAGCTGCACGAGTGACCCCAGCGGAGACAGGCAGAGACTTGCCCAGCAGTCTTATTTGTTACTTTAAGCCATTCAATTTTTTTTTAAGATTAAAAAAGTTAGTTTAGGCAGAAATAGTCTGTAAATAATTATACAAATATTGCATGGATATGACCAGAACCTTGAAGCTGGTGTACAGTGAGCTAAAATTTGGAAAATGCTTAATGAGAGAATGGCCTAAAGGGCCATTCCGTACTCTGAACTCCCCAAAGGCAAAGACCAAGATTTATCCACCTCCAATATCTCCCCTGGAACCTTACGCAGTACCTGGAACACAGTGGACTCTCTACAAATACCGAATTGGGAATTCACTCATTATAAACACTGGGCGTCAGCTCTGGTTCTTCCAGGCTGCAAAACTAACATATGAGCAAATTTCTCCAGGTAGATAGGAGTGAAGTAAACCCCAAAGAACCAGGAACTAGAGCCAAGTAAAGAATAAACCCCAAGAAGGTTTGAGTAAAAAAGGATACTGTTTGCACACTGCATATGGGAAAACAAGTAGAAAGCCCAAAAACAAAATAAAAACTTAACAGCAAAGAAGAAATAAACAAAGCCCCATCAGTTCTACAGCTTAAGTTAGCCTAACCACAGCTGAGATATGGCTTCCCAAAAAACTAAATGGCAAGTTGAGAGAAAGGCT